TTGGTCTGCTAAATCTGATTCATTTACACACTATTCAATCAAAAGGTGAGAATACTCTTTGAATACATATGAAAAGTAATTAAAAAAAATTTAAGGTACAATATACAGAAAAGTTTGACTAAATTAATAGTGTAAAATTCAATAAATTCAGGTTTATGATTGTTTTTCTTTAATTTATCCCTGAATGCACATTTAAATCCCAATAAGAAAAAGAAACAAAGACCAGCATTGAATATAATGAAACACCATTTTCTGGGTGAGATCTGGAGGCTCCCCGGAGCTATCCAGGCTGATATGAATGTATTAGACTCTGGTATCAGTCAAAGCAAATTGAGTTCTAGGCCTACTGTGGACCACGAGCCAGAACCTGGCCCCCTCAGAGAGAGACCAGGAGCAATGGCCAATAGAAACCCCCATGTGATTGGAAGCATTCAGTGTCTGCTATCGACTGGGTCAGGCACCCAGAAAGGTAAGTGCCCCAAAACAAACCCCAGTTCTGGTTAAGAAATTGCTACTGAAAACCGAACTATTGGACAGAACTCCCCAAATGAAGACTAGCAAATGAGCATGATGTCACCACGTCACCGCACCGCTGTCTGCGCAGCTCCCTACCTCCGGGAGGGGGAAGGGGAAGCTCCAGACTCCCAAGCCAGCTATCCACACCCCAGTTCTGAGGCTGGATGTCAAAAACACATGAAAAAACACCGATTAGAGGAAGGGAGGGTTGCCAGGAAACCTCTGCGTCTCACCCAGAAAATGGAGTATCATTACATACAATGCTGGTTTTCTGGGGGCGAAGCCCCTTCGGCTTCCCGGAGCTACTTACCCAATGACAAAAACAAGAGGGACTTAACCTGGGAAGCGGTCGGCACTCGCTCCTCAACTTGAAATCAAGTCAACTGGCTGCAAACACCAACCCAACGCGATACAGGCCCTACTAGTCCAGGAACACTGACAAGGTAGCGAGTGGCCAGGGCTCTGTTCGACTTCCAAAACCCAGCTTTCAAATATGTATCAGTCCAAGACATGTCACCAAAGATGGCAGCCAGCGCAGTAAACTTACGAATGTCACGGGCACCGGGACAGACCGCAGGCTGGTTGAACTGAATAACCCTGTGGACGACCTGAGAGACCTGAACCCTGGAACAGGGAAGAAGGGAAATCGGGTTAACCCAAAGTATGTCCCCGGCCACGGAGGCTGTGGAGCGCAGGTAACGGCAGAGAGCCGCAACCGGAGACTACACATGATGCACCTCTGTCTGAACCAATCAAGCATTAACAGCCCAAGGACCCCTCTGCAAAGCAGCAGCCTCATTCTTCGCCAGAAAAGAAGGAGACGGTTGCAGACAAACAAACCTACCACCAGCACCGAAAGAGCAGAAACTTCTGCGCCGTAGGAGAGCATGAAGCTTCCCGACCCGACCCCCAGAGGCCAATGCCAACAACAAGAGCGTTGGACAAACAATCCTGAACCAAAGAGGCCACCACAAACTGAGGGGAAGAGAGAGCCCCCGATTCAAGGACCAGGATGGCTCAGGCAGCGCATGAGCAAGCCGGAGGTGAAACAACGCCTAAAACAGCTTTTGGAACAGTGTCGAAGTAACATCAATGCCGAACGCAAGCTGCAGAGGCTCTGTCAGTGCCACACAATACAAGGCGACAGTATTCGGCATAAGATGACGGTCCTGAAACAACCACGAGAGAAAGGACAAGACAACCCGAACAGAGACCGAAGTAAACTGGTGAAGGGACAAGAAATAATGGAAGGACCACCAGAAAACTTCATACTGCTGCTGAGACAAAGCACGCACTTGGGACACCAAAAACTAAGCCTCCTGCTCACCATACAAGTGGTGATAGATCAGAAAGACCATATACAAAGATTCGAGGAGAAGATCAAACCAACCTCGTAACGGACCTGTCTGATCTGCTGAAAGAAGCAGAGCCATGGAAGACCCCAAGGTTTGGACAGCGAGCAAGCAGAGCCTGAAACCAAGGCTGGGCCAACCACCAAGGAGCCAAGACGACTACTCTCCCCTGGTAAGTCTCCAAGCGAGCCAGGACCTGGAGCAACAGCTAAGCCATTGAGGGGAGTACACGTAACCCCACCTCGACCAATCCTGCTGCAAGGTATCGACCCCTGATGGCCTCGCCGTCGGGGAAAGGCACCACGTATATCAGGAGATGCCTCGACCACACCAACGCGAAGAAGTCCACTTCCGGGAACCTGTACATCCGGCAGAGCCAACTGAATGAGTCGGCATTGACCGTCCATTCCGTGGGCAGGGAAATGAACCGAGACAGGCCATCCACCAGAATATTGGACACCCCCCAAATGTGAACGGCCAAGAGAGCTAAACCCCGAGAACTCAGCAGACGTGTCACCCAAAGCGACCAGCCCTCAAGAGCCAAGGACTGCATGGAACCTCCTCAGTTCAGGCAATGAAGCACCGGGAGCAGTCCGAATGGAGCCAGAAAATTCGCTCCACGAGTGAGCTGAAACCCTCCGAAGCGACTCCGACACCGCCGCAAACTCCCGCACCATGCTGTGGGCCCGACGGAAGGACGGACCCCACCATCCCATGGCTGGCCTGGTGAGCACTGGTCACAAAGCCCCAGCAGCAGCTGATGCAAGGCACCTGGAGGACGAATCCGGCTATCGCGAGAGAGGTGGAAGGGCTGTCCCCGAAGGAACCAGAACAGCCGACAAAGCCAAACCCCCAACCTGGTGGGTAGACCATCACAGAAGAGTTCAGGGTACCGCACAAACTCTCCCACCCACTCCGAGACAATCTGACAAAGCACAGGAGAAGAGGCCTACCCCGCCAGCTCCGAACCCCCCAAAGGAGGAGGGGGGGCCCCACCCAGTGCCACTGCAGGCCGTCGGAACTTACTTGAAAAGCCCACAAATCATTAGACCAGGCTTGAGCAAACAGCGCGACCCTCACCCCCATTGCGCCATCAATGGGATGAACCGTGACAGGACCGACACCCCCCCCCCTTGTGAAAGCCCAACTTACAAGCAGAGCGATCACCTCGCCGACCAGACGAAGTCAGGTCCGAGGGTGGCGCCAGCACTGAAGCTACCATGATGGGAGGAACCCCGAGCCCTAGCACGACCCTTTCCGGGAAACCCCCCTCCTAAATTATACTAAATCAAATTATTATAAATCACCTAAATTATTGGGATCGTCTCAAAGCTCTCCAAATGTACTCACTAGATAGGAGACGAGAGATACCAAATAATATACACATGGAAAATACTGGAGGGCCAGGTCCCTAATCTACACAGTAAAATAACAACGTACTAGAGTGAATGATATGGAAGAAAATGCACAATAGAACCAGTGAAGAGCAGAGGTGCCATAGGCACAATCAGAGAACACTGTATAAACATCAGAGGTCCGCAGCTATTCAACGTCCTCCCAGCGAGCATCAGAAATATTGCCGGAACAACCGTGGACATCTTCAAGAGAAAATACTGTTTTCTAGAAGACGTTCCGGACCAACCGGGCTGTGGTGGGTATGTGGGCCTGCGGGCTGCTCCAAGCAACAGCCTGGTGGACCAAACTCTCACAAGTCAAGCCTGGCCTTGGGCCGGCCTTGGGGAGTAGAAGAACTCCCAGAACCCCATCAACCAGGTATCAACCAGATGAATTGTGGAAGATAGCCCCAAGCCCCAAGGGCAGCACTTACAGGGCACCGAAGGAAGATGACTCTAGGCGCATGCAGCCCGAGGACTTATGAATATCCTCCTGGCTCTCACACCACCAAGGACAGTACCACACCACAAGGCACAGGACTGGAAATTGGGAGCCAGTCGCACGACCTTGCCAGCCTCACATCAGCCTCAGAACTGAGGTGTGGATAGGCGGCACAGGGACCTGGGGCTCCCCCTTCCCTCTCCTGGGGATGGGGGGGGGGGGGGAGGAGCTGAGCAGACAACGGCATGGTGACATCATGCTCATTTGCTCATTTTCATTTGGGGAGTTATGTCCAATAGTTCGGCTTTCAGTAGCAATTTCTTAACCAGAATAGAGGTTTGGGGCGCTTACTTTACTGGGTGCCTGACCCAGTCGATGGCAGACATAGAATGCCTTACCTGACCCAGTTGATGGCAGACATAGAATGCTTCACCTGACCCAGCCGATGGCAGACATAAAATGCTTCACCTGACCCAGTCGATGGCAGACATAGAATGCTTCACCTGACCCAGTCGATGGCAGACATAGAATGCTTCCAACCACATGGGGGTTTCTATAGGCCATTGCTCTTCATGCCTTTCTGAGGGGGCCAAGTTCTGGCTTGTGGTCCCCAGTAGGCCTAAGAACTCCATTCGCTTTCACTGATGCCAGGGTCTAATACATTCATATTGGCCTGGATAGCCCCAGGGAAGCTGAAGGGGCTTACCCCGTAAAAACTAATATTGATATAGTTGGATAATTTTAGCAATAAACTCCAGATTTTTGTGTGGAATATATTCAAGAAACATAAGCTGCAAATCCTCGATATGATAGGGATGACTTATGTTTTTCATGCGTACAGTATATCTAAAATTTCAAAAGAAAATATTTAATAAATGTTCCCTGATTACTCTATTTAAAGTATTTGGTAAAACAGAGATCTGTTAATATAATCCCACAGCTGAAGGGTTAAATGAGAAGCAGTAACCAAAGTGACAATACAGTCAAATCTGAGTAAATATTGATGTAAATCAACAGCTATACTGATGCAATGAGCCTGTAACTACATATGTCAACAATGTACTACTATAACATTGATGATATTCAAATTCCTGCACAGGAAATGTGTACAAATGTGCTGAATTTGATGATGACCAAATTTTAAAGAGTTATGGGAACACTAATACAAAAGAACTAAGTACACAAAATGCAACTAAAACAGTAACATATAGGTACTGTATATGAAGCTACAAACTTATAAACCAAATTACTGTATAGGAGAACTACTAGACAATGAAATGAGGGTTAACATCATACCTGGCATGACGGTTCCGTGCTAAATGCGTATCATCGTACGCAGTGAACGTCCTTCATGTAAGGGAGATTCTATATTAAAATCTGAACTCAAAGTAATACTAAAACTTCTTTACTTACATTGTAGTGTAAACATTTACATATTAGAACTAGGCAGAACAGTTAAAATAAATTTAATTTTTTTATTACCATAGCAGTTTACCCTAAGTATTTAATGTTTAATATATGCATGTTTAACAAAAAAAAGGGTTGGAGGACACAAATAAACACACACACGCACGCACACGCACGCACGCACACACACACACACACACACACGGCTCCCAGAACTGAAAAGCAGGATACTAGGAGAGGTTAGAAGCATTAAATACACCAAAGCTATAAGACAGAAGAATAAGAGGTAACATGATCATTGTAGTATGTACAAAATAGTAATAAGAATCAACTTAATTATGAAAGAAGAATTCTTGAAAACTGCTATTTCAAGAACAATAGGACACAGGTTCAAACTAAGGAAACAAAGCTGCCCTCCCCCCCCCCCCCAAATAAGTTCATTTTTGCAAACAGAGTGGTAGACGATTGGAACAAGTGAGAAGATAGTCAAGGCCAGTAGTTTCAGAGTGCCACATGACAAATAGTACTGGAAAGAAAGGATATCATGAGTCTAGCTCTCATCCTGTAACTACACTTAGGTAATTACGCTTACACAAACACACTCAAAGGTTTTGATGGAGGCCAAAACCGTCAGTAATTTAAAAGACATATGACAGACATTTCAATTTCATATGACAAAGAGTGCTTGGAAGACGGGACACCATGAGTGTATCTCTCATCCTGCAATTACACTTGGGCAACTACACACACACAAAGGAGGGGGAAACATGTTCCTGAAAGCTGTGTATATACCAACATAGATGGGAAAGGTAAAAAATATTGTTGTTAAATGCTATAATACAGCTTAAGATGCAAGATATTGTCGCAGTAGCAGAGACGAAACTGGGAGATCAAATTATAAATGTGGTGGTATTTCCGAGGGGCTGTGGTAAGCTACTTGGAGATGCGACAGTAAAATTAGTAAATGTGTTGCTATCCTGGTGAAGAAATGAATATAGGCAAGAGAATTAATACTTGACAACCCTCAAGAAGTCGACATAATGACAATGGAGATCTGCATTCAGAATGATAAACTGATGAGCGTCACAGCATGCAGTTCATCAGCAAGCAACACAAAGACTAAAGAGGAGCTGGATGATAAGATAGGGCCTTATAATGATCCTGACAGAAATTATTGTAAAAGCAGATGAAGATAAATCACGATTGCTGAAACTTCGTGACTTCAATTTCAAATTGATAGACTGGTAAGACTATGGAGCAAAAACAGAGGACTTTTGGATCGACTGATTTATAAACCTCATCCTGGGGTCTTTCATGTATCAACCTGTAAAACAGCCCACAAGAATGAGAGAAGCTGATCCTCCATCATTGGTGGATTTGGTATATACTAGGAACGCCGAGATATTTGACATTCAGTACCTTCCTTCAATAGGCAGGAACGACCATGTTCTTTTAGAAATCAAATTTGTAATGTATTATAAGTTAGCTTTGTTCATATTACAATGAGTGCTCATACGACTAGTACACTTCTTTATAAATGTTGAATTTGAGGAGTTAAGACTTTGGGCTGAGTGCATAGGGTATATTGTCAATTTCTATTTCAAAGACTGTTGTGCTCATGTTAGTATCAGTTACATTATGAGAGGTTTGGATATCTTTCATAAACAAGCTCTCCAAATCTTTAACTTTCATGTTGTTTATCGGGGTGATCAACATAGCCTCATACTGTTCATTTAGGATCTCTGTCTCTTAGGACTTAGGATTTGTCATCCTCTGTGTACAAACCTTCATGTGTAAGTATAGGTCCAATACTGGTGGTAGTTTTTTATTTTTATTCTGCATATGTGAAAAAATATTTTGGATCTTTTCTCTATTTCTTGAATAGTTTTCTGTTCCCAACTCATTTCTTGAGATTTGTATGATCATTTCAGTGTCTGCTCTATTTCTTTGATCTCCCCTTTTTAGATTTCTTTTTCTTAGTCATGATAGTTGTGTCTGTTTAAGCATTTCCACTATTTTTTCTTATGTGGATTCATCTGCTTTCTCTTTCTAAGGTTGTCCCCTTTCCAGCCCTTTGCAATGGAACATGCTTCACTGAGACTGTTACAATAAACAGTTGTTATATTCCTTGCATGGGAGTTTTGTTACTTAAGACTTTCCCATTGGCTATTTGCAAGTTCTATATTTATTTAGTTTTTCCAATCAATCCTGTTAAAATTGAATTGATTGAATAATCTCTCTCAATTGTTGACCCTTTTGGACCTGTTACAAGTATTGACGTTAAGTTTGAACTTCAATGAGATTGTGATCTAAGTATGTAGTATCTGAGATTGTAACGTCCCTGATTATTTCTTCATTTTTTTGTGAAGATTGTATCGAGATTAATCTCATTCCTAGTTGGCCCTGTTATCTGCTGAGCGAGTGAAAATTTGTCACAATCCCAGTGCCCTGTACTTGTTATTTCCAGGGTGATTTCCTGTTATAATGTTATTGTTTGCTATTCTTGATCTTCAACTGTGTAGATTCAAGTCTTGTAGGAAGATAATATCTGGTACTGAGCTTGCTAGGTTATCAAGGCTAGTCTCAATTTTGTGTACCTGCTCACTGAATTTCTCAACTGTTGCATCTTATGTTTTGTACATGAATAATAATTTGTTTTTTTTTATTTTAATTCCTAGTACATCTACCACTTCATTTGTACAGTTTACAAGTTCTGTGCATATAAGTTCCAATTTAATATACAGACTTACTCATCTATCTGACCTATTTACTCTATCACATCTTCATAAATTATAATTTAGGATCCAGATTTCACTCTACGTGTACTCTCTTCTATAGATTCCTGTGAATGCTGCAAATATTGAATTAAACTATTAGAAAGGCTATTTATGAACTTAACTTTATTTCTCAATTTTGAATTTAGGCCTTATTTGCAAATGTAAAAGATTTTCCACATTGCATGTTGCTTCAGGTAGGTTTTGAGATCTCTTCCTTCTCCATCATGATCCAGGTTGTGTTGTAGTTCTGGCAATTTGTCAAATTTTGGTAGTTATACTGGTAAATACCCAAGTGTAGTTACAAGATGAAAGATACACTCAAGGTATCTTATCGTCTTCCCAGTATTCTATCATAAATTGCTTTGAAACTACTAACGGTTTTAGCCTCCACCACCTAGCATGTTCCATCCATCTACCACTGTTTGCAAAAATGAATTGAATTTTCAAATTGTTGAATTTTCAAATTTTCTTCGGCAGCTTTGTTTCCTTAGTTTGATGCTATGTCGTCTTGTTTTAGTTGTGCGTTTAAAATTTGTTGTCAATTTTTTTATTAATGTTATTATTCTTTTTATAGTAATCATATTACCTCTATCTTCTATATTCTAGCTTTGGTATATTTAAAACCACTAATCTTGTTGTAGCTCTTGTTTTTCAGTTCAGAAAGCCGTTTAGTTTCATGTCTTTGCACCTTTTCCTGTACAGTATATTGATGTGCTTCTTGAGATATGAGTACCATATAACCAGGGGTGCAGTGCCAATTTTATAGGTGCTGGAGCTCTGGTAGGCCTGACAAAAGTCTGCCATTTCCTATCCTGTTTCTATATATGTCACACGATTAAGTGATACCTGGTTGATGGGGTTCTGGAAGTTGTTCTACTCCCCAAGCCCAGCCTGAGGGCCAGGCTTGACTTGTCAGTTTTGTCCACCAGGCTGTTGCTTGCAGTGGCCCGCAGGCCCACATATCCACCACAGCCAGGTTGGTCCCTCACTCCTTAGAGAAAGTTATCTAGTTTTCTCTTGAAGATATCCACAGTTGTTCCGGCAATATTTCTGATGCTCGCTGGGAGGACGTTGAACAACCGTGGACCTCTGATGTTTATACAGTGTTCTCTGATTGTGCCTATGGCACCTTTGCTCTTCACTGGTTCTATTCTGCATTTTCTTCCATATTGTTCACTCCTGTATGTTCTTATTTTATTGTGTATATTTGGAACCTGGCCATCCAGTATTATCCACGTGTATATCTCTCTCTCTTTGATATCTCTCTCGTCTCCTTTCTAAGAAGTACATTTGGAGAGTTTTGAGACGATCCCAATAATTTAGGTGCTTTATCGTGTCTATGTATGCCATGTATGTTTTCTGTATTCCCTTTAGTTCGGCAATCTCTCCCTGTCTGAAGGGGAAAATGAGTATCAAGCAATACTCAAGACAGGACATCACAAGCGATTTGAATAGTACAACCATTATGAAAGGATCCCTGAATTTAGAGGTTCTCTTAATCCATCCTTTCATTTTTCTGGCTGACGCAATGTTTGCTTGGTTATGCTTCCTAATCTTGAGTTATCTCGAGATGATTTCGGGGCTTTAGTGTCCCTGCGGCCCGGTCCTCGATCAGGCCTCCACCCCCAGGAAGCAGCCCGTGACAGCTGACTAACACCCAGGTACCTATTTACTGCTAGGTAACAGGGGCATAGGGTGAAAGAAACTCTGCTCATTGTTTCTCGCCGGTGCCCGGGATCGAACCCGGGACCACAGGATCACAATCCAGCGTGCTGTCCGCTCGGCCGACCGGCTTCCTAAATGTTAGGTCGCCAAACATCATTGTTCCCAAATCCTTTACATGCTGCTTTCCTACTATAGGCATATTTGATTGTGTTTTGTACCCAGGATTTGTTTAGGGTCCTCATTTTTACCATACCTGAGTACCCAGAATTTATCATTGTTAAACAATGTTATTTTCTGCTGCCCAGTCAAAACTTTATTAATATCTGCTTGTAGTTTTTCAATGTCTTCAGCAGAGGTAATTTTCATGCTGATTTTTGTCATCTGCATAGGATGATATGATGCTGTGACTTGCATTTGTGTGTTATCTGATATGAGAATAAGGAAAAGCAGTGGTGTAAGGATTGTACCCTGAGGTACAGAGCTTTTAACTGCACTTGGACTATTTTATTTGGTTGACTTACTTCTTGCATTCTGTTCGACAGAAAATTGAAAATCCACAGTCCTACTTCACCCGTTATTCCCACTGACTTCATTTTGTGTGATATCGCTCAATGATCACATTTATCAAATGCCTTTGTGAAGTCCATGTATACAGTTAGCCATGTGCCAAAGGAACGACTGTTATCCAACTGGGGTTTGTTCGGATAACTAGTGGGGCAGGCAGTCTGAATACAAATGTGCAATAAAGTTTGCCTAGTGACTATACACACCACCCCCTTGAGTAGTGTTCATACACTAATGGATGGCTCAAAAACTTTCAACTCTGCCATGGCATTAGGTACATTAGCGTACATGATAAAAGTCAGTCTGCTGAAGTTACCTCATCACCATTAATCTCCACTTCAGTCAACCCAACATTATCATCCACCACCTTTTCTATCTAAATAACTTGAAGATTATAGTTGATGGAGCATTGTTAACAAGCAGATCAGAACATATATATTGATGAGTACAAACAAAACTGTTGAATTTCTGCAAAAAAATTGTCAATCCTGCCCCCTCCCAAGCTTTTCAGGATGAATAACCACTTATTTGAACATAACATTTTATCCATTCAGTCACATCCCAAGGGGTTCGGATAGCACGTGGCTGACTGTACCACATCTGCATTCTGTTTTTCTTCTAATGCCTCAGTGATTTTGTCATAGTGGTCAAGTGGCTGTGAGAGGCATGATCTTCCCGCTCTAAATCTATTTTGGCCTGAGTTGTGGAGATCATTGGTCTCCATGAAACTGGTGATCTGACTCCTGACCAGACATGGTAGAGTCATGTCTGCTTAAGCATTTCCATTATTTTTTTACTTTTTCTGTAATGTGGTCTGCATTCTCTTTGTCTTTAGTGAAAGGAACATGTTTCAGACAGACTTTATATACTTTGGAAGTCAGTTGTTTTTCCTTGAGTGGGATTTTTATTGAAACAGTTTCCCATTAAAGGTTTGTAAGTTCCCCATTTAATTTTTCCCAGTCTATCCTTTTATTCTTAAAATTGAATTTACCGAATAACCCCTCTTCCTTGATCGTTGTTTGAGGTCTAATGATGTTAATTTGCACTTCAATGAGCTTGTGATCTGAGTATGTGGTATCTGAGATCTTAATGTCCCAGATAATGTCTTCATTGTTTGTGAAGACCAGATCTAGAATATTTTTTGTTCCTAGTTGACTTTGTTATCTGCTGGTTGACTGAAAATTTGTCACAGAATCTAAGTACTGTAGTTCTCTAATCTGTAGTTATGTCCAGACAGATTTCCTGATATAATATTGTTTACTATTCTCCAACTTAGACTAGGCAGGTTGAAGTCACCTAGGACGATAATGTCGCGTATTAGGTTTGCCAAATTATTAAGGGTATTCTGTATTTTGTTTATTTGTTCTGTGAATTCCTCAGTTGTTGCATCTGGCAGTTTGTATATTAGAATAATAACTGTTTATTTTCTGTATTTTTACTCCCAGTACTTCTACCACCTCATTTGTAAAGTTAAGGAGCTCCGAGCATACAAGGTCTTCTCTTATATACAGACTTACTCCGCCATGTGATCTATTTACCCTATCACATCTGTATGAATTATATTCTGGTATACAAATCTCACTGTCCAAGAATTACCTTGCATGGGTTTCTGTGAAAGCTCCAAATACTGCATTTGACTTGGTGAGGAGGCCATTTATGAATGGTACTTTGTTTGTTGGCCTTGTATTTAGTCCTTATATGTTAGCAAAGATGAATGAGGTTACTCTATTTGGGGTAGTCTGACAGACTTTTCTGGCAGGTCCATTATGCGTGGATATTATGCAGTACTCTCCATATCTATGGAGAGTACTGTATAATTGTTGTAAATTTTATGTTTTACAATTTGCGTAAACTTATGTATGGGAATTTACCATTTCCACGCATTCTATTTTTTCTCTGAATTACAAAATGGAAATCATCACAGAGCCTTCCAAACTTTATAGCATCATGGAAAGTAGTTACAGTATTACCATCCCATTTTAGCACACTGCTCCCCCTTCGTACTATTTTCTGCCAATATTGCCTCATTCCCTTCTCCCCCTCTCATTCCCCCAAATTCACTCATTCATCTTTTCCCCATCTTCAAATTCATTCCAACTTAAAATAATAACAATGATGAATGCTGAATATGTTTTGCCTCTGAAGTGACTTAAAAAACATTACCGAAGTTTAATAACCAAAACATACAACAGGCAGAAAAGAAAAAAAAGAGAGTCTTCTCTGCAGGTGAATAAATATTAGAAAACAAAGAAAAAGGCATAATACCACTTACTTCATTTTAACGTCCTTTGAACCCTGTGATATTTTTGCACGTTTAAGGAACTCGTCTTCATCGTCTGAGTAAAATACATCTTCCAGCGATTCTTTAAACTCTCCAGCTAACAAAGCGTCTAAGGCATGCTGTGTAAATTGAGAAATATTTTAAGTAAAATTTAATTTTAATTAAATATATTTATGAAAATTACACCAACACGTAATTAACACAAGCAAAAAATGTATATAATAAACCAGCGTTGAATGTAATGAAACGCCATTTTCAGAGTGAGCCCCGGAGGCTCCCTGGAGCTATCGGAGCTAATGTGTGATACATTAGACCAGGACATTAGTCAATGGAATTTAGCCAGGGACCATGTGCCAGAACCTGGCCCCCCTCAAAGAGGCCCCGGGAGCAATGGCTCCTGGAAAACCCCCTCTGTGGTTGGGGTTTTCCTTATCTGCCATTAACCGGGGTTAGGCACCCAGAGAGGTAGGTATAATAAAACATACCCCACATGGGAAGAAAATTGGAACCAAAAACCGAACAGAGGCAGAACCTCCGCAAATCTCAAGGAAACAAGCAAACGTCACACCACGCCACGGCACTGCTTCTTCGCGCAGCCCTCATCTCCCGGGGAAGGTGAGGGGGAAGTCCCGGACACCCCATGCCAACCACCCAGCACTCCAGTTCGGAGGTTAAGCATCAAATCAATGGGAAAACTGCTGACTGGAGGGCAGCAGACCAGCCGCCACACGCTCCTCAACACGAAGGCAACACAACTGGCTGCAACATGAAACCCACGAATGCCCAGGACTAGGAATGTTGACCAAATAACGGGCAGGCAGGACCCTGCTCAACCTCCAAAATTCCCACGCCCGAATATCAGCACAAGACATGTTGCCGAAGACAGCAGCCAAAGCGGCAAACTTCCGAAAGTCATGCGCATGAGAATAGACTACAGGCTGGCTAGACTTAATAACCCTGCAGACGACCTGGAAGACCTAAGCCCTGGAACAGCGAATGAGGGGAAACCAGATTAACCCAAAGCGCATCCCCGGCCACAGAAGCCGAGGAAGGCAGGTAACGGCGAAGAGCTACAACTGGACACAACACATGATGCACCCTCCAGCCTGACCAACCAAGTTTCAATGACCCAAAGACCCCTCCAGAAAGAAGCTGCCTCATTCTTACCCTGAAAAGGAGAAGGCTACAACCAAACAAAACGATTACCAGGTCCAACAGAGCAGAAATGCCCCGAGTTCGGACACCGAGCATGCAGCGCTTGAAACCAAGGCTGGGCCAGCCACCACGGGGCCACTAGGATGACTCTCCTGTGGTAAGACTCCAACCGAGCCAGATCGCAAAACAACAGCTGAACCATTGGGAAGAGGTACAGGTAACCCCACCTCGACCAGTCCTGCCGAAAGCCGTCCACCGCGAAGGCTCCACCATTAGGGTAAGGCGCCACATACATCGGGAGACGCCTCGACCATGCCAACGCGAAGAGGTCCATTTCTGGGAGTCTGTACCTCCAGCAGAGCCAACTGAAGGAGTTGGCATCAACTGTCCATTCAGTGTGAGACAGGCCTTCCGCCAGAATGTTGGACACTCCCGGGATATGAACTGCACGTAGATCCAAACCCTGAGAAACCAACAGACGAGCCACTCGAAGCAACTAGCCACAAAGAGGCAAGGACCGAAGGGAACCCCTGCGGCTCAGGCAATGAACCACCAGAGAACAGTCTGAATGGAGCCGGATGGTCAGAATTCGAGCAACTCAAACCCTCCAAAGAGACAGCCAAACCACTGCAAACTCCTACACCATGCTTTGAGCTCGACGGAAAGATGGACCCAATCAACCCAGGCCTGCCTGGTGAGCACTTATCACAAAGCCCCAGCCGAGAGACGACGCATCCGTGAACACATCGGCACTGAGGCGCAAGGCACTGAACCTCGAAGAGGAAGCCAGTGACGCAGCAGCCGACGCAAGGCCCCTGGAGGTCGAATCCACCGATTGTTAGAGGTGGAAGTGGCGCCCCGAAAGAACCAGAACAGATGCTGAAGTGACCCGGTAAACCAACATGGCAAAATTTACCAGCCATGCCGGTAAATCATCATGGCGAAATTCAGACTTCCACACTACTGCTCGAGCAATTGCCAAGTGACCCGGGACCCCCCAGAAACATCTGAAGGCGGGACCGCAGTCACAGCAACGCTTCCGGAGGGACAGACATGAAAATGGTCCGAGAGACCCAAACAAGATCCAACCAAGTCCGAATCTGGAAGAGAACCAGATGGGACTTACGCCAGTTCACTAGGAACCCAAACCCGGCAGCTGGGAAAGAACCACACCACTGGTGAGCAAACAAGCAGACCAACTGGGAGAACACACCAGCCAGTCGTCGAGGAAGGCCAGAACCCGAACCTCTAGCAGACGCAGACGGGTCACTAAGAACCGGGTAAGACTCGTGAATATACGAGGTGTCAGTTTCAAGAAAAAAGGAAGGCAACAAAAGCGGTAAGCCCAACCATGAAACCTAACAAGTCCCTGAACCCCGGATGAATGGGAACACGACGACAATATGCATCCCTGTGGTCCAGGGACACCATCCAAGCACCTGGCTTTAACAGAAGCAAGACCTGAGACAAAGTGGTCATCCGAAAGGAGGGGCAAGGAATCTAGGGGTTCAGACACAAGGAAGTACTTCCTCGAGTACTAATGTACTAATGTACTCAAGGAATCTTCGGAAGGAAGGAGTTAAGGAACCCAAGGCAACCTGAAACAGAACCCGTGGATGAGCCGACCCCAAATCATACTAATAAAGGGAAGGAGGGGGGGGGGGGTTAAGAAAATCCCCTCTTCCTGCAACAACAACAAGCCCCACGAAGAGGGCACTAACACCCAGGCGGGGTCAAAGGGGGCCCAAGCCCCCCCGCAGGTCAACTTCCCCCCAGCCTCCAAGATCCTCCATATCGAACCCAGGGCAAAGCAGTCCTTCATACCCTCTACATTTGAAGAAAAGGCAGAGTCCAGGGTTACCTGGTTGATACCTGGTTAATGGGGTGCTGGGAGTTGTTCTACTCCCCAAGCCTGGCCCAAGGCCAGGCTTGACTTGTGAGAGTTTGGTCCACCAGGCTGTTGCTTGGAGCGGCCCGCAGGCCCACATACTCACCACAGCCTGGTTGGTTCGGAACGTCTTTTAGAAAACAGTCTAGTTTTCTCTTGAAGATGTCCACGGTTGTTCGGGCAATATTTCTGATGCTCGCTGGGAGGACGTTGAACAGCCGCAGACCTCTGATGTTTATACAGTGTTCTCTGATTGTGCCTATGGCACCTCTGCTCTTCCCTGGTTCTATTCTGCATTTTCTTCCATATCGTTCACTCCAGTACGTTGTTATTTTACTGTGTAGATTAGGAACCTGACCTTCCAGTATTTTCCATGTGTATATTATTTGGTATCTCTCTCGTCTCCTTTCTAGTGAGTACATTTGGAGAGCTTTGAGACAATCCCAATAATTTAGGGGCTTTATCACATCTATGCGTGCCGTATATGTTCTCTGTATTCCCTCAATTTCAGCACTCTCTCCTGCTCTGAAAAGGGAAGTGAGTACTGAGCAGTACTCGCGACGGGACAACACCAGTGACTTGAGTACAACCATCATGATGGGATCCCTGGATTTGAAAGTTCTCGTAATCCATCCTATCACTTTTCTGGCTCACGCAATATTTGCTTGGTTGTGCTCCCTGAACGTTAGATTGTCGGACATCATTATTCCCAAATCCTTGACATGCTGTTTACCTATTATGAGCAGATTCGATTGTGTTTTGTATCCTGTATTATGTTTCAGGTCCTCATTTTTGCCGTACCTGAGTACCTGGAATTTATTGCTGTTAAACATCATGATATTTTCTGCTGCCCAATCAAAAACTTTGTTGATATCTTCTTGTAATTTTTCCATGTCTTCAGCAGAGGTAATTTTCATGCTGATTTTTGTGTCATCTGCAAAGGATGACACGAAGCTGTGACTTGTATTTTTATCTATATCTGGTATGAAAATAAGGAACAGCAGTGGTGCAAGGACCGTACCTTAAGGTACAGAGCTTTTAACTGCGCTTGGACTTGATTTTATTTGATTGACTGTTACTCTTTGTGTTCTGTTCGACAGGAAATTGAGTATCCAGCGTCCTACTTTACCAGTTATTCCCATTGACCTCATTTTGTATGCAATCACTCCATGATCACATTTGTCGAATGCCTTTGCAAAGTCTGTGTATATTACATCTGCATTTTGCTTTTCTTCTAGAGCTTCTGTGATTTTGTCATAGTGATTGAGTAACTGTGACAGACAGGATCTTCCTGCTCTAAATCCATGTTGTCCTGGGTTATGTAACTCATTATTTTCCATAAAACTAGAAATTTGATTCCTAATCACTCTTTCAAAAACTTTTATTATGTGTGATGTTAGTGCAAATGGCCTATAATTTTTTTGCCAAGGCTTTACTCCCCCCTCCTTGTGCAAAGGAGCTATATCTGCAGATTTAAGTGCTGCTAGTATCTCCCCTGTATCTAGGCTCTTTCTCCATATTACGCCGAGTGCTCATGCTACTGGTACTTTACATTTCTTTATGAATATTGAATTCCATGAGTCAGGCTTGTGACGATAATCTCCTTCAAGAGATTGAGCCTGCTCTTCCCTCCAAAATTACGTCTTCACAATTATATAAAAAGACTATGGAAGAAATGTCCAACAACGACAACAACACCAGCACCAGCAAGGCTTGCCAGGGTGAGCAGAAACGTATGCATCCAGCCACCTGTTCGAACTCCAACCACCAAACTACCCGTTGATCGCTACGGCTCCGCTGATTGGTCGCCGGTCTGGCTGCACCTGCACTCGCCCCCAATACTACCTGATGTCTGGGGTCGCCCCAACATCAGTCCTCAGAATGTTCCGTGCTTTCGTAGCCAGCACTCCTCCCAGCTAGACTCTAGAGTGTACTGAGAGAGGTGGTGGCTTTAAGCCAATATTCCAGCACCTCCCACTTAACTTTTGTGTTGCACTTCTTATTATTTTGCCTTAACGTAACTTTCATTGTGTCATTTCAGTATTCTTATTATTTTGATTCATTGATTTTATTATA